AAGCCCCAGTCCACAACAAATGAAAGCTCCTATCGTTGCTCCAGAGACCCGTAAACCATTAAAAACACAAACATACCTCAAAACAGTCTCAACCCTCGTAAAGCTTTCCTCCAGGCCATAACCCCCTCAACATCGTAAGACAGACGTAAACATAAACCCAGAGGGCCCACTGTCATGGAATTTGCTCCCGAAAGACCATTCTCGTTAGGGTTCCGGGGCCTATCCATAATAGTAGTGTATATGGACCCTCTAGGCCCCAAGCCCCAAAACCCTATGTACATTTTCTTCTTCAAGCGCTGCCCTTCCAAGGACTAATAGCAGTAGTACATATGGACGTTCTGGGTTACTTTCTAAAGGAGCCCTGCAACCCAAACCCCTAGAGGAATCCCGAACCCTAATTCCATAATCCCAAAACGATCTCAACACCCGCCCCTCCGCATCCCTCTACGCCTCCAGTGGAGCTCCGGCATCCAGCAGGAGTACCTTAGGATTTAGGGTTTGGCGGCTTAAGCTTTAGATTTCTGTTGTAGGGACCCCTAAACCCGAAACCCCTAAACCCCTAAACCCTAAACCCCTAAAAGGTTTCAGGTTTAGGTTGTTGTGGTCAAGGCTTGGGGCTGCCTGAGACCCTTCTCTGGGTCTTAGCCACTACACGGGTAGGTGTTGGTGTCACGAAAGCATGAACAAACCCTATCATTAACATAATCCGTTGGGGTACCTTGTAGTATAATTGTAATTTGGAGCCCTGCGGAGTAATGCTACTAACTATTCAGGCTTCTACATTAATTATACATCTTGGTGCTATAACGTCTAGGAACATCCCAACAATCTATAGCCATCGATCCCAAGCTCATGGGTTCTGGAATACACCACATGTATTTACGAAGCCTGAACCAAATTCATAGTAGGGAGCTTCCGAAAATAGGGGACCCTAATATAGCACCTAGTAGGATCCTTATCATAAGGGCCCCAAAATACGGTACCCGTAATTCCCATAAAGCAATCCTGAACCCTAAACCCTAAACCCTAAAACCCTAAACCGACGGCTCTACATCCTTCTGCCGAAACGATCATCGCACTGCTTCCCAGCTTCTACCACCTCCAGCTCGCCAGACTTGGCCGCTAGGTGGAGTGGCGAAGTGCCATCTTCACCTCCCAGAATTACGGCTTCTAAAGACCGCCAGAGACGGGATCATTGTGGGGTTGAACATAGAAGCAAGAAGAACAGGTCCTTTGCCGGACTTAGTACTTACCGCTAACTTTAACAAAGCCAAGCCTATCATGACCATTACAAAGGGAGGAGACAGTCGCGCTGCTACCCTCAGAAAACAGCAACGGCACAAGCCTGCGACGGGTACCTCTGCAGAACTGGAGTTTGCAGTGATCCCACAACCGGAACCCTGGATACAGATTCTATGGTTCCACTCCTCCAGAACTTTGATAGGAACATCGGATATGCGATGTAACCGTGCTTTCGTGCAGGTGTTTGCGGCCTTTTTGCGCAATTCTGCTATGAGGTCGGGAGCTGTCTATACCTGTAGACAAATCTCTTTCTGCACATGGCAGCTTCCCAAAATAAGCGGTCCGAGCCGACACTTGGTGATATCTTCCCCACTGGAAGAACCACGAAGGGCCACTGATTTTCGGAAACTCCCACATCACTTGGTGAAAAATCGGGATGTGCTCAAACCTGCTCAGAAATACTTAGCGGCTGCCGTAGCCGCCCTTGCGAGTAGGGATATCCTCCTGAGCTGGTCTTAGGGTTCGTTGAAGGGTTTAGGGTTTAGGGTCTTAGGGTTCGTGGAAGGGTTTATGGTTTAGGGTCTCAAGGTTCGTTGAAGTTTTTGTTTAATGAGCATCGGGTGTAGGCAATATGTAGGGCTTACCTGGGCCCTTAAGAATCCTACCTTTTTAGGGTTCCTTATTATGATCTCCTGATATAAATCCTTTAAAAGGTCGGTTATTTGGCAAAGGGGTCTAGGTAGGGTTTAGGGTCTGTGAGGACTTCTGGGGGTCTTCTTCAAAAACCTTTGAGGACTCTCAGGGCTTCAAGCGTGGCTCACCTTAAATTACAGAAAAAACCCTAAACAACACTAACAAAGCCTAACAACACCTAAAAACCCTAAAACCCCAACTCCTAAATTTCGCATCGGAAGATGAAGTAGGGCTTAGAGAGTGCCCGACCTAAACTTCCGAGCGCAGGGCCGTCTTACCCCAAAAACTTCAACAAAGACACTCCAATACCCCTGAATTAAAGGTTTAGGGTAACCCTTAATTCAGGAATATACCTTAAACCATATTAGGGATCCTACTCTAATTTAAGGTATATTCCTGAATTAAAGGATATTGGAATCCTCTGGAAACCCCTGAACCCGAGACCGTAAAGCTCCAACCCCCTCAATCTTCGACCCCTTGGCCCTTAAAATCTACACTAAATTCTACACCCTCAGCCCTAAGCCCTAAGCCAAAAAACACAAATCATCAACCCGAAGCCCTTCAACCCTAAACCCCTAGTCAAGCAACCCCCTTTTCAGCACGGACTGAGGTGCCGACCCTAAGCCCCAAAAATCGAAATCCTTGACCCTGAAACCTTCAACCCTCAAGCCTACTACCTTAAACCAACCCTAAACCCTAAACGTTTCAACCCCCGGTGGTTGAGAGCTTCGGGTCTGAGGCCCCTTGGGACTCTACCGGCACCCTATCAAGCCGGCCCTTTCTTTTAGGGCTCCTTTAGTAGGATTTCCTCATATGATAACGTTGAAGGGTACGTTGTTTGGGGTTATTAAAGTAGAGGCTGAAGGATTAAAGAGTTTTGGTTGTCAGGGTTTGGGGATGTTTAGGGCGTGGTTATGTCAAGCGCCGAGGGCGTGGAGTTTTAGGGTGTTTCAGCTGTAAGAACCGCTTGTGTCTCAACGTAGCTTGCAGTCTAGGTTTCTAGTGGCGGTACTAGATATAAACGGCTCTTGAACTGACTGAGCGCAGCAGCTCGCATGTTGTAAAGCTGGGAAGCGTAGGTGGGGCTTTAGGGTGTTATGTAGGATTTAGGGCTCTCATTTCCGACGCCATCTGAATCGTTCGGACTCGTTCTAGCTCCTTTGAACCTAGCAGCTCTGTTTCGTTTTGCTCATGCCGCATCGTCTGACCGAGAAACCCTGTTGTAACGATATTGCACCTTAAGCGACAAGGGGCTTCAAAATTAAGTCGGAATATGTACATGCCTCAGTTCAGGGGTGTTGGGCTCTCATGCGTCAACACCAGCCCAGTATCCCCCCAGCCAGCGGTACCGCCGTTGCCCGAGTAGCCTTGGCTGCTGGCGACTCACTGATTCGCGGAGCCACGTACAGCCACAAATAAAACCGCATGTGTGTATGATACATATATATATATATACACCTACATATATACCTATATATATATATATACTTGTTATCATTTAGGTATAGACATGTAAAGACCGACATGTACAGATGCACACTGAGCAGGCCCCCCAAGACGGCTTCCGAATCGAAGGCGTAGTGCTCAGCACTTGGGTTCAAGATTCAGGAAACCCGAACCCAACTCAAACTCGGAGTCTAACGCGAGTTAAAAGGTAAGAAGTTACAGATGAAGCCTCTAATCTGGTTTATTTGGGCTGATAAACTGATTAAACCCTCCGAGTGTTCAAAGTCAACTACCCCACGTTCGATGAGAAACCTGGATAAGGCGCGTCTAGAAGTGTTTCTGCAGACCCCGTGGAAAGCGCAGGCAAGTTTGACATATATTGTTAATGCAGTTCTGCTCCGAATACTATAGGGTCCGTAATAAATAAAATGGGGTTTGGGGGCCCATCATACTATAACTATAATAAGGAACCCCCAACATAGCATAGGTAATTCTTAAAAAGGACCCTACATTAAACCGAAACCCTCAAAAATAAGAAAGCCTTCGCCAGGCCACCCTCGGGCCGATCTGCGAACAGTGCATGGGATCCCGCTCCGCCACGGAAGGCCTCAAAAAGGGGGGGGCAAACCCTGTGAGTTCCTTTATCTATTTGGGAGTTTCCGAAAATAAGGGGTACCGTATTTTGGGGTCCTTATAATAACGATCCAACTATTTAGGGTACTATATTAGGGTCCCCTATTTTCGGAAACCCCCATTTGAAAGTGTGCACTTGCTCTTTAATGGGAATCATCTTCTCCCCGAAAGTGCAAAATGCACTCATTCAGCTAAGTTTATACTCCTAGAACCCACATATTCGTGTAACAGACGTGCGAAGAGCTCTGTATGATAGGAGGTTTTGCACAAGCTTTTCATGCATATCCCCATGGTCTTAGGCTAGAAGCGAAATAAACAGCCCGAAACCCTCAACTTTCGACCTGAAGCGCCAAAGCACTCCTTCTGCCCTAAACCCTAAACCCTAAAAGCCTAAACCCTAAAACCCCTAAACCCCAAAACACTAAACCCATGCTTGCCTGCTCCAGGTGGATCTTGAAAGGTCCGAGCTGGAAGATGCCAGGCAGGGTGCCGTCGGTCTGGCGGATGCTGTTCGACGGCTTCCGGCTCCAGTTTGCAAAGGTTTATGAAAGCTTTCTAAGGTTTAGGGTTGAGGGCTAGGGTTTAGGGTTTAGGGTCTAAGGATGCTGCTTCAGGTTTAGGGTTTAGGGGGTCCCCAAACCCTAAACCCCATGGCCAAAACCACAGGCATGGGATTTGGGGGTTTGGGATTACATCGGATCGAGGGTTCGGACAGTTTCGGCTTAGTAGAGACTAGACTTTCCATGTCGTTTCTGTTCCTCAGCAGGTCTGCAACGTGTCTAACGAGTCTTATTAACAACAATAAACACGTACATCAACGGAATAACTGAGCAGATAGAGACATGGATCAAGCAGAAATATATATATATATATATATATATATGTATATATATATATATGTATATATAGTTAAACATGCTCGGAGTACCTATGTTGAATTTTCGTCACATCCCTGACCCACGAAACCTTAAACGGGAGTGGGGCACCTTGCGCTCCTCCGCGAAAGGACGCATGCGGTAGCGTCGGCCCTGCTTGTTGCAAATCTTGAACATGTCCTTGCACAATGTCTTGGCTTCCACATCGCAAGCCACTTAAGCACGGGTTTGACTGATTCAGGCTTATTCGGAGTTGACCCTGGGGTTTTGCGTTTGCGGTTGACGTTTTGTTCGGTAAGGATTTGGGAAGCAGGGCTTCGGACATGACACTTAGCTTTGACGGCGTGTTTGTGCAGAGGGGGAGCCCTAAAAATCAGAATGTGGTTTACGGGCATACTCTAGTATACTTCTAAGAACTCGGAACCATTGCGAATTCAGGCTTCTATTTTTAAACATCCCTAAAACCCCTACGTTTTTTTTGCTAGCGTTTACAGAGCCCTCCAAGCAACCCTGACAACACAGGTCTCATCATGAGGCCCCCAAGACTCGACGAACAAATCTAAACCCTAAACCCCTAAAGCCCTAAAGCCCTAAACCCTAAACCCCTAAACCCCTAAACCCCTAAGCCCCTAAGCCCTATAAACCCCTAAACCCTAAACCCCTAAACCCCGAAACCCCCAAACCCCTAAACCCTGAACCCCCAAACTAAACCCTAAACCCTGCACCCTAAGCCCCTTTTTGAACCCAAACCCTAACCCCTAAACCCTAAACGGGTCCTTCTCTCCGATGAAGAACCCCTCAGCAACCACGAGCTGGCCGATGCCCTGGGGGCCGACCTGGCAACAACAAAGGGTTTCGGTACACTTCTCGATTTGAAAGGGCTTTGGGCTTGCTTGTAGGGTTTCGGCACACTTCTGGATTTGAAAGGGTGTGGGGCTTATAGGGTTTATGGCTAAGGCTATTAAACTATGGCGGCAGAGTGCTAGGGTTCAGGGCCTTGGGGGTCTTTCAAGGAGCCTTTGTATAGGGTTTCTAGAACCGTTCCGATACGGGCTGCGTTTTCGGGTTTCGGGTCTTCGGATTCCTGAAGAGGTTCCTTCAGGGTTTAGGGCTTAGGGTTCAGGGGTTTAGGGTTTAGGGTTTAGGGATTCCTGAAGAGGTTCCTTTCTGGGTTGTGTAGCTCTGAGTGTGCTAGCGATAAAGTCGGACTTGGGTTCAGGGCAGCAGAGAATCGGGGTGGTAATGTTTAGGGTCATACGGTTTAGGGTTTAGGGTTTTTTGGCAGCACAATCACTCTGAGCTCGGGTTTAGGGTTTAGGGTGTAGGGTTTAGGGTTTATGGCAGTACTAGGGTTCAGGCATGGGGCTTCTTCGAGTATGGGTTGAGGATTTTCGGGGACTAGGGTTCAGGGTGTTAGGTATTGGGATGTAGCGAAGATAGGGCTTCGTCTTCGAAACTTGCTTCAGCTTACCACCTGAAGAGCCCAAAGCCTGTTTGCAAATCTACTTTTGGGCTTTTATATGGGTGGTTCTCTAAATTAGGGTCCTTCTTTGAGTCCCCCAAGATAGTACCGCATCCCTATACAAAGGACCCTAGAAGGGACCATAATTTTGAGAACTACCCCTTTGCTTTTATGCTCTGTGGTCTGGAGAACCGTGGGTTTTGGGGTTTTCTGCGGGCAAAAACAGGGACTGCGGGGCCTGGGTCTCAACCTCACCCAACAAGCTTGCCGGAACACCAGGTTTCAGGGTTTGGGGTCAGGCTTTAGGGTTTATAAGGTTGTTTTGCTCAGGTTTAGGGTTTAGGGTTTATAAGGTTTAGGGTTATAAGGTTTATGGTTTAGGGTGCAGCAGTCCTTGTTGCCTTCATGAATGTTCAGGGTTTAGAGCAGTAATCCTTGTTGCCTTCATGAATCTTACCGTGGACGATGCTCCAAGCACCACAAATGACAAGGCCCAAAGCTGCAAGGCTTTCAGGCAGGGGTAGCTCAGGAGGGTCTAAGGCCTTCGCTCTAACAGAACCCCCCAGACAACCATACAGAGCCCTTAAAAACCCATCCGAAATCATAGAAACTGTAGAACCCCTCCAAAAATCCTCTCGAAGCCAGACTAAGCCGGACAAAACCTGCTCAAACCCTGAATAGCTACATTCAGCACATGCACCCTAAACCCTAAACCCTAAGGCATCTTGCCTCCATCTTGTCCAGGCGCCATCCGTTGCGGGCCACAGCGGGTCCTCACTACAGTCACCCCGACATCCCACGCAGTTTGTGGCAATTTTGGGCTCAGGTGGTCGGGTTGTTCGTGTCATGTGTTGAGAACCCCGCGCCTCGTTCGACATCACTCACCACGAAAGATTCGGTTTAGCCGAATTGCTAGAAGTTCACAGCTATGGCTATCCACGTAACCCTGAACCGTGTTTTAAGGAAAACCGGGCAACATACATACACTTCCCATTCCGGAAGCCCGCTTCGGGTCTCAAGCGTTCATACTGCTCATACCTTCAACTCCCATACTTGTGTGTTGCAGGGTCAGTCCTTTTAGCCAGGTCTAGATGTGGGGGTTTCCGAAAATAGGGGACCCTAATATAGTACCCTAAATAATAGGATCCTTACTATAAGGACCCCAAAATAAGGTACCTCTAATTTTCGGAAACTCCCATGTTGCAAAAGTCTATCTAATAAAAAGGGCCTGAATAATTAGTAAGTACTGTGATGGGGTTCAGTCACTTGTACAACTGCACTCTACTTTGTTCAGGCCCCGCAATTACACGCAAGTTGGGGGTTCTGGTCCGCAAGTCTAAGCCCAACACCCTGAAACCTTATTACACTAGACTAAGCCCGGCAATTTCCCCCAAGCTCCAAGCCCCAAAAAGCGAAAATGGCAAGCCCCAAAGGAGCCCCTAGGAACCATAATCATACGGTTGATGATATAAGTCCTGCATTACCCATAATAAGAAATATCCCGTAATTCCGATAGTTTAGGATCCTTAATGCAGGATTTATATCATCAAAAGTAACGTATCCCTGCAGAGACTCTAGTGAGGTCAACTCGAGGATTGTGGCTGGAGCGCTAGGACGCCTCTTTTGGAACCCGGACGCTGCCGACAAGCTTAAGAACTGCTAGGCTAAATCATGTGGGAAGCAGCACTGCGAGCACGAAACCCCTAAAACATAAACCCACCAAACAAAAACAAACGCTAAACCACGGCATTGTGGCGCCAGCGGTACTCACTTGCCAAGCCCGTGAGTGACAAACCGTAGCTTGAACTACAAAAACCCTACAACTCGTAGGGTCCCTGAGTTGAATATTATACGGTTTGAGACAGGTTGTGTGACAGTTCAGGTATGGTTTGGGGTTGTTAGGAATTAGGACCAGGATGGTTCAGCCTCGGCAAAAGACCTGGCCTGCGTGGTAGTCTGGAAGGGTTTCGCTTGCCGCCTTTGTTCTCCGTAGACGTGCATTGCGCCACGACGGGACCCTCTGACTCTGACCCGCCTCGCGCTTAACCTTCCACCCAACATAAGAACCAACCCTAAACCCTAAACCCTAAAGAGGAAGTAGCTGGGAGTTTCTACAAGCACTTAAAAGCAGGATCCTGATTCTAAGGACCAGATCCCTGCACCAAGCTGCCGAAATTGTCGAGTCCTTCAGGGCGAGTGAGGCTGCTGCCGCAGAAGGCTCTCAGGCAGGCCCTCAGTCGACCGTTGCATGGATTTGGCTAGAAACTGCCCTTAGTTTGCAATCTGTTAAGGAATTGGCTAACGCAAACTCGAGTAGAAGATGTGTGCGATTTGGGGCATGAAGTTGCAACGTACACACACACAAAAAAAACACAAAAACACACAAAAAAAACACTAATCAACATCAGAACAAGCAAGAGAGAGAGAGAGAGCACCGACACCAACGAAAACGGCATCTCCACGACCGCGATGTCTGAACTACTATCTTTACCGGAGCAAAACAAACGAAAACAAGAGACAGTAGCACTTATAGTAAGCACAAATACGGCAATACCTGTCCTAAATCCCTTGTAGAATGGCCCACTGGCACTCCCAATTTTGCCTCGAGCGATGCTCTGAACTCCGAGTACTGGAGTGCAGGGTTTAGGGAATTTAGGGTCTAGGAGTCTAGGATTCGAGATTTCGAAGTCTTGTGTGAGCCTTTACGATGGCATAGATATCCTTGAAGGGCTACATCGTGAAAACTTTCCTAATCATGACAGAAATATAAGACTGTCAGTTTGTCCCGGCGACTGAGACCACACCGCCACACCGGCAACTGCGGAGAGAGCAAGCACGCGGGCTCCGAGACGCACCATCTTAAAGGATTTGTTCTGAGCTATTGCCGGGATCTGAGCCAGAAAGGTGCTGAGACGGAAGAGACCGCTACATGATAGGTTGAATGCTCTAGCTCACTAGAGCGCTAGCTAGCTAGCCATTCTGCACCCCAGTTCCAACATCAACAAAGTTTTTTATCATCGCATGAAAGAGCCGATAGCCTTACGAATGAATGAATACACTTGTATACATGTCTAAACTATAAATGAAGGGATAAATGTGCACGTGTGTATGTGTGCGTGCGTATTTAGCGTGATTAGGGATTGAATCCAACGGCTCGGGGGGTCTAGGCCTGCGGTTGTGACGGTCGACGACCCCGGGCCCCCCACCCTAAGCAAAGGGTCCAGGGTTTCCCAGAGACTCCACTATCCCTTAA